AGGAGCAAGAAGCCACTAGGTGGAGGCCAACACAAGTAGGTTGGAGGCCATCGCTACTAGTAACAAGAAGCTATCAATCCCGAGTACCTATTAATAAACACTCCCCAATTAAAAAAGCACAACGTGCGAACCCCTAAATTCGGTATATATGTGGCTTTAAATTACCACCCTTTCAAACCGCTACTAAACTACCAACATGGTCGATTTTGGGGGTAGTTTCTTTTTATTAGGTTCCCCAAAACTCCACCATGACACGCCGCGCTTACACCAGCAGGCTTTCCTTCCCCCAATGGCACGGACTCACGCAAACGCACTTGCCACCGAGGTCATGCAACACCGCATGGCACAGCGACATCACTTTTCGAAAGCTTTAGCTGTTAGTCTACTGAAGAATCACTATTCTAATGAAGGCTTTTGTAGGGGAAAAGGAAGACCCTTCGATCTGGAGGTTTTTTGCATTTTTGATACGAGTTTAATAAAGGATTTTATATAACACTTTACTGGATTACTTTTTGGTTTTGAAACTCTTTCCAGGTGACCCTATTTTGGACCCCCGGATTCCAGGGACCCCCTATTAGAAAAAATGCGACCGAGTCTTTTTTGCTTGGGGGGGGGCCCGTGTTTATTAATAGGTGGACGGGATTAGGGTGGAGGCCATTGCTACTAGGAGCAAGGAGCTCCTAGGTGCAGGCCATCGCAAGTAGGTTGAAGGCCATCGCTACAAGTAACAAGAAGCTATTAGGTTGGAGGCCATTACTACTTGTAACAAGAAGTTACTAGGTGACCGTCGGTACTAGTAACAAGAAGTTATTATATAGGGTGGAGGAGTGGGTGGAGGCCATCGCTATTGAGTTGGAGGCCTTTACTACGTGTAACAAGAAGCCACTACGTGGAGGCCATCGCAAGTAGGTTCAAGGCCATCGCTACTAGTATCAAGAAGCTACCATTACTACTAGGAGCAAGGACACTATTAGGTGGAGGCCATCGCTACTATTTTGGATCGGCTCACCATGTTTGAGCTTCCCAAGGAGGGCTTCAGTTGACTCGCTTTCCTCCCTTCGCACACCCTCTCCCCCCAAGCGCCTGCACTTTGCGATCCCAGGTGGGCACCAACAACTTGCCTAGCTATGTCATTTGCGATCCCAAAAAGAAGGGCCATCCAATTCGACATGTCACCTGGCACGATGGATCAAGCGACAAGAGAGAGACAAGAACGCACTGTGGACACCGAGTGTCATGGGCACGTCTCTTCGTGTTTCGTGTGCGATGTCAATCAACGGAGACCCAAACGGAGGGCCTCCTTTTGGAGGTGAATCGACTGAGATGTCATTGATTGACCACGTAAGAGTCTTAGAGCTATCACCTCGAACTGATGTTGATTATGTTGTCCTGCATGCATGCACTACAGGGATTGTCGAGACATGATTTCCGGGGGCGAACAGCTGTGCCTTATTTTCCTTGTGCTCTATACTGTCTCTCCTGGCATAGGTATCAAAAAAATAAAAAGAGCATCAAAAAAAAATAAAAACAGCATCAAAAAAATATAAACAGGATCAAAAAATAAATATTCCTTGATAGGCCTCTTCTGCTGCTCTCCTGGCCTTGTGGTCTGCGGGTCCTCTGGTAATGTGGTCCCTTGGTCCATTGGTCCTCTGGTCCACTGGTCCTTTGGTCCCCTGGTCCCTTGGTCCTTCAGTCCACTGGTCCGCTAGTCCTCCGGTCTCCTGGTCCTCTGGTCCTGTGCTGCTGCTGCTACTGCTACTGCTACGCTGGTGCTGCTGCTGCTGCTGCTACTGCTACTGCTACTCCTACTACTACTACTACTACTACTACCCCAACCATCCTCAGTGGGCTAGAATATTTTTGTTTTTGATTCCCTTTTTTTTTATTGATCCCCGTTGAATATATTTTTTTTGTTTGATCCCTTACCCGTCTCTCCTGTAGGATACTGAATCCGTCTATGACCCATGCTGCTGTTTAGTTTTCTTCTGATACAATTGGCTTTGGCCCTTTACTTTTGTTTAATATGGGATGTGATATGTTAACATGTTTCCTCTTTCATGGCTCCAGCGCAAAAGATCATGATGACTGCCGTATGATTTGCGTCTTCATGCATTTCTTGAAACCAAGATTGCCTCAGAGCTCCTTGGGGCTTGAAAATCGGCATAGCTCCGCTGCAGGTTTGGGGAATGAAGCATCTAACACCCCAACTCTCGCTTAGGCTGAATTTGTCCTTCCTACCAGGCTGTCGGGGAAGTGATCCCTTTGGTGTAGGGACTGCTTAGACAGAAGGCAACCACTCTGGCTCGGTATTTGCAGGTGCCGAGCATAGCCGGAGCCCGTCCGAGGCCAGCCAAGGTTTCCAAGAACTCTTTGGTTACAGTGCATCAGAATGCATAGGACTTCAGGCGAGGTGTGCCACCTGTGCGAGACTTGAGGGGAGTTGATGCGAGAAAGAACTGCTTTGGAATTGTAGTACAAAGTATATATCCCAAACACTCCATGTATGGCATATATGCCGATCAGGCCAGGGGTGGTTTCAGGGGTCAATATAGGCAAATATGCCATGCATGGAGTGTCTGGGTATATATCACCATGTTGAAAGTAAATGCAGGAGCTTCAAGCCTTGGTGGTCTCAACCAGAAACCGTTTCCAAAAAGGCCATCGAACGACCTCATCAGTATAAGGGCTGTGGCTGCGTTAAAAGCACCGTATTTTTGTTGCTGCCGACGTTGGCGTGTATAGCCTGGCATGCTAAATGACATTTGACGCAAAAGATCAGGGTTGGAGGCAATCGCTATTCGATGCCATGACCGCCATGACCGGTCGGAGCTCGCAGTGTCGCTCGCTCGCTCGGCCGGAGCATTGGAGCGCAGCCGGGAGGTTCCAAGTTGCTTAGGGGCTCCGATGGCGGAGCTGACGAAGAGTCCCGGTTTGATGGATGAGCTGTAAGTTTTGTGTTTTCGTCCATCTGGTCTGGGTGATTCATGTTGTTGTTCATGTGTTTTTGAGCGTCCGAATACCCAAGGATTGGTCACAGCTGCGGACTCTCTGCAGATGAGACCAGGCAGAGGATCGAAAGGATTCAAGAGGCAGCAGAGGCCGGTCGGTGGGGGGTGGCCGTTTGACACCGGCGGTACGTGGCAGGAGATGATCATCATTGCAATAGTGGATCCATTAGATCAGCTTAATGAACGTTGACAGATCTTAACATGAACCTTAGCATGGTTTTCTTGTGACTTTTTCTTCTGTAATTCCAGGATTCCACCACCTGCATGTTTGTCCACTTGGTAGCACGAACATGATGTTTGTCCCTGAGGAGGCTGCGCAATGCGCAGCAGAAGGCACTAGCACTTCGTCGCCTTTGCTGCTGACAAAGAGGACAGACGGCATGTTTACGCACGTCGAAATGTGTCGAGACAATCGAAGAAGCAGATCAGACATCGGTGCAATGAGAGACAAGGGTTTCTCGGTCTATGGATTTGAATGGCTGTCTATGCATGTGGGTCCATGTGGTTTTGGGAATTCAGCAACTTCCATTGGGAGATTGCACAAGAATTCTGACCTCCAAGGATTTGTGTTTTGGACATTGACGGAGTGCTCTCCAATTTTGTAGATCTATATCTTTTACACAGACACTCACGTAGGTTACGGTTACACCCCAAGACCCTCATTTTTCTTTGTGACCAGCTCCGGAATTGTCAAACATTTAAGACGAGTAGATTGAGGGGAGTGTCACCCTTGTTCCTTCCAACCCCAACAGGGGTGAATCACGGGCGAATCTATCACCCGAAAACACATAAACTGACGTAAACGGCAAAATCCACGTGTAGATACTTTTAGTGGAACACTGAATTGCTGTTTGGTTTCTTAGTGTTTGAAGGTTTATGTCACAGCATTAGCATATTTTAGCATATACGGAGTGACATGGACTGAAAACCGGACCCATGTTTACAGGTGTTTTTTTTCCATGTCATGGCATGGTGTAATGTTTGTTGCGCAGGGGTGGGGGGCGGATTTTTTTTGGAGTTGCGTGTGAACATTGACCGATTGAGCAACCAACCGTTCAGCAACAAACCAAATCAGTAACTGCGCGAATCAACAACCACGCTTCAGCAACCAAAGTGACCGATGCAGCAACCAAACTGCACGATTCAACCCACGCATTCGCTCCAAGTGAACGCAGAGCTTGACCGGGGAGGACAAACGCATGAAAAAACATGTTTAAAGCAGTAAGCATGAGCATAATCATGCATAATCCATTACGTTTTCCAATGCATTTGACATGAACAGCCCGAAAAAAAACAAAAAGAGCGTACGGTTTCCAATCCGCACGGATGTTTCTATATAGTTCTTCCTGGTCAAACCAGGGGTGATTAAGCCACAAGAATGCAGAACTCTCCCTACCCGTCCAACACGACGTTTTCACTGTAAACGAGGTGGTCATCAATCCCAGACACTCCATGGGACTGCCATATATGCCTACATTGACCTCCAAAACCACCCCAATAGGCATATATGGCAGTCCCATGGAGTGTTTTGGTAAACCAACATGTCTTTAGTTGAAACGAGGTGTCCAGTCGACGCGTGAGTAGTTTGTTCCAGGAATGGTGAGGTGATTGCATGTGAGATCTCCTGGTGCCAGAGCCACTGGGACCAGAGCTGGAACGGCTGAGCGAGAGTAGTGGGTTGGACAAGACCGGTGCCACTTTCTCCAAATGTTTGTGTTTTTGGAGCGAAAAAATGTGACCTTTTGCCCCAAGTCACCTCATAACACAGGCATTTGTGAGTATTACTATTATAGTGACATACTTGTAGTATGACATATTTGTTTCAGCAAGATTAATCCTGAGCGATTCAGAAAGAACATATTTGTTTCAGCAGGGGCACATGCGAAATCATGCGAGATTGCTTTCCCCAACGTCTGAAATGTTTGAATCCGTGAAGTTGGACAAGTCAAACTCGGAAGACAGCCAACCACCTCCCCCAAAAAACAACCAGCTGAAAACAACCTTGGGACCATCATCCATTCTTGCCCATCGGCGCAGCTCCGCTGTCGTCCATGTGGCAGTCCGGGAGACACTTGAGTCACTTGAGGCTCGCACCCTAAGTTGGGATGGTCTTACCTTGCCTGTGCTTTCCGAGAGCTGGGCGATGCTTCCGTGGTGCCGCGACTCTTGGTCGCCGGCCACGTGGGCGCCATGACGCTCGGTCGGTGCATGGGGGGCATCGGTTCAGACTTCTTTTCCGAAGCCCTGAGGGTCTCATCTGGCTGTTTAGAAATAACTATAACCAACTATAGCCAAGACCTTCAAATGCGAGTGATAAACATGGGCAGACCAAAAAAAGCAAGCTGTCTTACGGAGCCACAACAACTGCAACCAGAACTGAACCGAATACGAGAAACAACATGAAACAACCATTCTTGCAGACTCTCGGACTCGTCACCCCTCAAAACACACACTGTCAAATTCTGAGAGTGACTCGGTGACCAATGAAACCACGCCGGTGTCCGTCCGCGTGTTTGACCGCAGACGGTCCGGGTGTCCGCCCAGAACACACCGATGACTTCCGAGGTATGAAGAGCTTTGTTCTGACATGTCGGACGGCCTGCCGACGACGTCCGCGGCGGAACAGCTTCGGGCCTCGTCCGAGGCGCGCGCCCGGTCGAGCGCCGTCGGTCGCGCCCAGTCACTGATGGACCGTCACTGGTGGGGTCACCGGTCGGGTGCACGGAAACCATGGACTTACCGGCGGAATCACCACAAACATGGAAACATGCTTTCAGGCATGCCAAGCATGTCTGAAGAAGTGGATTTCTGTCTTTTTTTTGGGGGGGGGGGTCAAGGGTCCACTACCCACCACATCCCACTACTACCTAGGTCCTTGTAATGATCCAAGGCAGCGAATATCGTTCCATGTTGAAGAGTTGTTTCAGATTGCCTTTCCTATGTCAGATTGATTCTGTGGTTATGGAAAAAGCCTCAAGAGCGACCGACGAAAAACAGCCGCTCACGTTGTTCCTTGAGCCAAACGCAGGTCGTTTTGACCGGTGGTTCACCTTTTCAGGTGTTCATGACCTTCATGAAAAAAGGTATGCCTTGGGTCGTGTGCTTTTCCACTCACAGATTCATATCCGAAAAATCATCACGGCATGAAAGAGTGACCCCAAAACGCCCACAAAGTGCGGAGTGTTGTTTGCAACATTCCTGCTCAACCATGCAGAGTGGGCCTTCCAAGAGTGTGTCAACAAGCTCTTGGAGACAAATCCTCCGACTCATGTTGGGATCGTTTGCATCGACCGCGGCGTTTAGACTCGACCGCTTTCGGGCGGGGGCGGGAAGTTGGACTCGGTGTCCGGATTGAAAGATGTTTGATGATGTTTGTAATCCAACAAGTCGCTCGGTTCTGAAGCCCAATGAGCTTTGAGGGAGTATTGTGTCCATATTGATTTAACTTCAAACATGTATCACACACGTCAAGCGTTTGAAGAGCTCGTCTGTTGGGTCAGCTCACGGCTGAAATTTGCAACACTGTACACACCTGCCATGTTCGATGCAGGATTTGCACGCAGCTGCAGAGCAGATGTGGAAGGATGAACTTGCCAAGGGCATCAAACCCAAGTCCTCGCGACCTTGCCTGCACTTGGTGTGTGTGTGCTTGGGATTTGAACCGATTTAAACCATCGGTGTATATAGTCGGCATATTGTTTTATAGTCATGTCGGCGCCTCAAAAATATCCGTGAGGAACTCATTATACCCTAGACCATCCATGGTTTGCCTGTGCCCATACATTGGGGGTGGTTGACATGGCGTCAAGGAAGGCATATACGGCCGTACAGTACATATATGAGGGCCGTCCGTTATTGCCAGTGAAGGAATTTCGATCAACTGTTAAAACAAACATGTCGCGAAAGGGAAACTGCAGTCCGCGAAAGGCCTGCGATAGGACAGCGAAAGACATGTGCCAACCTAGACTTACATACAATGTGCATAATACATGACACATCCTTTTTCCCGAACAGAAACACGGATTTTCGCGAAAGGGCTGCGAAAGGCCGGCGGTAGGCCCGCGAAAGAGCGCATTGCCTGGAAGGGCATTTGCCCATCCATGGCCTTGAAATAAGCCTTGAAACCTTTGTTTCAAGTATGAATTGACAAAGGGTAATTAGCCTGCTTCTCAGCGCACTAAAAGGGATTTAGATGTCCCAAACACTGTGAACTCAGTGCAATTGAACAAGCTCATCACAATGCGCGAAAGGAAAACCTGTGGTTTTTCTGCAAACGCGAAAGGGTCGCGAAAGGCCGGCGATACAAGCTCAAAAAGAAGAGCTTTGTTGGACAACCCCCATATGTATAATATATTATATACTGTATATATTCCAGTCCCATGGATGGTCAGGGGAGAGTCATGGGTGCTTTTCAAACGACCACCCATGCGCTTTACGTCCAGACCATCCATGAGTCACTGAGTCCCAAGTGGTCATTTCCGACCGTTGACGGTGAACCAGCCCAATGTATACCTGGATTCTTCGCAGAACTGGTCACTGGATCGCCACCTTCGGTCAAGCTTCGGTCGACCTGTGAGACGAACAGGTCCAAATGGATGAGACGAACAGGTCGAAGCTGGTTCTTCTAGACATAGATTCCGTAGATGGAGTATTTGGATGATGAAGGGCCCAATCACCAGTGCAGCCGAATCCTCTCGCGTCTATGGAAACCCTCCGTTTTTAGAACTTGGAAAGATCCACAGGGCATTGTCAAGAGAGTTATGACATGGTATGACCAAGACATATGTTTGCTCTACTGACTCCCGCCACTGGTTTGCGCAACATGATCAGTTGGTTTTGACACTAGCTTACCCCGCGTTCGCCCGAGCTCCGCGGGGTTGAAACAGGGAAACAGGGCGACCGGCCATCGAGTATTCTCACAAGCTCTTATTGAAAGTAATGTTGCAATAATCCTCTCATTTTGCCTCAGCTGGGTTTCTCAAGCCCTTGCACTTTCAGAACGTATTTCTACATGCATTCGCAGCTGCACTTGCAGGACCCATGTTGGTTGAGCAGCCGATCACCAGCTTCAAGCAACAGAGATAGAAACATGTTCAAGCATCTCCCTCATCCTTGGTGAACATGTCCACCACTTTCTACGGTGAATTTCACCAAGAAACTGGAAACAACGCACGGGGTTCCGAGTCCTAGCCAGAGCTGCCTACTTTTGACCAACGAGAAGATTCCAAAAGCATCCAAAAGCCAACATGTTTTTTGTTGTTCTCAAATTTTGCAGAAGAACCACCCGTCAAAAAGACTGCTTGATATCAATGTTCACTCAAGTCTGAGACGGGTCCTAAACCCATCCTTTTCCATCTATCTTCAACCCTGAATTTCTGGGGTTTGATCACCGTCCAACGTCTGTTTTTTTGTCCAACAGTCGACAGTCCGACTCTTCTTTCTGAGGTCGAAAACAAGGTCCGAAGAAACCAGCTCCATTTGGAGTCGCAGCACCGCCTCGACGACCACCTCGTCCAGAGACTCGAAGGAGGGCGGCAGATGACGACTGTGAGTCGGCAGACGAAAGCAGACGGATGGCGCCCTGATGTTGGATGACCCATCGGACCCATAGAAAGGTTCTTTTCCACCTGTATCCCGAACTTGAGATAAGCACGGAGATATGGACTTATGCAGCCAGGAGGGTGCAGTCGTACCTTCTGGATCCTTCAAAAAGAGGATGACCTACAGTAACCTGTCAGAAATCAGGCAAAATTGGCATGGATGCATTAAACGGTACAACATGTTGATACGGATTTCTTTTGCACAATTGGGAATGGGTCCTTCAATGGGTTCTGCTCCCCACCTGGAGCCCCGCCCATAGGTCCACCGGTCGGGATCACATGGATATGGATGACATGATGTGGCAGACTTTTGGTTCTGAAACATGGGAAAAGGTCTGAAGGTCTTGTCAAAAGGGAACTTACATGCACATACGCTGGAACTGGAAGCGGCCCGGAAGACGTTGAGGACGATTTTCCTTTGCAACAGGGGGTGAACTGCGGATTCCATGTGTTCGTCGGAGTGTACCCACCCTTCTTTGGTCCGGAGGATTGAGATGAGGGTAGACATGAGACATGGTCAGATCCATCAACATCAAAGTAACCTTTTGGTTCTGAAGTTAGACCCACCGGTTTCAGATTCACAAGACCAGTTCGACGTCCGAACGGCATGTCCGGGTGCCGGCATCCGAACGGCACCTGGTGTTGATGCGTTGAAGGTGGGGCTGTGGCTCGAGAGTGAGGGATCCCCCCGAGAGTGAGTGATCACTACCGGGTTTGGCACGAAATCGCCAAGAGTGCCAGCCGTGTAGCCAAAGGGTAGCAGCGGTCTAGCTGACGCTCGGAAGCGCATCTCGCAGGAACCCAAAGCAAAAGCTGATGCCTGTGCTCATCATTTCGGTGCATTGTCACTTCACTGCAACGAGCAACGGAGCTGAGCTACGACATGCTACGACGGAGCTACGACTGCCGAGTTACGGGCCCGAGTTTGGGGCCCGTGATATGTGGTGATCCTGTGTAAGGCGTAAGGTTTTTTTTTCTACATGTTGGCCGTAGTTCAACAGACTTATAACAGGGAGGATCAATTTCAGGTGTCATGCGCGTCCATGTTCGACGCGGTGCGTTATAAGAAAGTCAATCCTGTCGACAGGACCAAGCCTTTTGCAGTTCTTGGAAGTTACAAACAAGTCCTACTGTCCTTGCTTGATGCTGTCACCTTGCCTGGCGAGATGAATGTTCATCATTGTTCATCTATTTTCCTCCATCTTTGAAGCCCTTCATGTCCCAACAAGACTCCCCATGTCTTTGATTCGCTGGATCAAGTTTGCCCCAGAAACTGGCTCGCTCCCAAAGAGCGTGGGAACCGAAAGTCTTGCGGCGTTTTTTCATCGCACCAGGTTGGGTATTTTGCCAGAGAAAGCCACCTGGACGAGAATCGCAGGGTGTGTGTGTTTCTTTTTATATATACCCCTGAAGATCCCAGAAGGGGACTTAACCATAGGGAAAAATCAACTTAAGCAAAACCAGGCAGAAGTTGTTGTCTCCAAACGCGGATCCATGTTTTCCAATCCTGAAGCAAATCCAAAGTCTTGGGAACAAACTCAATGAGTCCTCAAAATCGGAAATATGTATGCTGCACACGGAGGTTTCCTGAGCTTCGTAGGTTTTTCGCCCTTGTCAGGAACCGGACGCTCTCAGATGCTGAAGACATGTTCCAAGTGGTGAGGAGTTGTTCCGTTCCCTCTTCCTTTGGGTCTTAAGACCAGACTTGATCAAACCCTCAAGTACCCCCATGGGTGAACACCACCTGTCCTCCGAAAAGGCTTTTGCGAAGGAGACGAGAAGTACAGGTGCTTCATGGTGCAAGGTGTTGCCTTCCACTGACCATTGAATGGACAATTGCAGAGCTATATAGTCCTTTTGTTAAAGCACATTGGATGGTTTCCGAAAGGATGGTTGGCGAGATGATGGAAGTTACTGTCGCTATTTTTGAGGCATTGTGTTTTTCTCCGCTGAGGATTAGTTGGTCGCAGGCACACATGTAGATGAAGAATCTAGGACCTTCCCAGTGACCGACTTCAGGATTGGTATGCATGACATTTTCAAGACCTTTCCGTGACCTCAGAAATGATTTCGAAGACGGTCACAAGGGAGGTCCTGGATGGTGCAGACATGTGCAGACCAAACTTACTGTTTTCCACAGCCATGGCAGGTTTTCCAGGCGATCAGAGATTTGTCACCAACGTGTCACCAGACCTGCTTATCGACTCCCTGGTACGAGTAAACGACTGTATATAGACGTTTTGCTTTTCAGTTGCTGCTGTGTATATAGCTATAAGGGAGCGGATATTTGACAGGAACCCATTTTGTTTCTTATTTTCGGATTTGTTCTAGGACCGGATTTGTTCAGGACGTGTTTTTGCTTTTTGCTTCTGCATTTGCATTTGCTTTTGGTGCTTTTGCTTTTGCATTTGCTCTTGCTTCTGTTTTTGCTGTCGCTTCTGCTGTCGCAAGTGGCCAGCTTGAAATGCGGTGCTGCTTGCAGTGGGCAGGCTTCAGAAGAAGCTGTGCTGCTGCAACTGCGCAGCTTCCAATGTTGCGCAGCTTTCAGTACAGAGCCTGTGCTGCTGCAAGGGCCAGCTTCCAAAGCTGTGCTGCTTGCAGTGGCAAGGCTCTAACGAGCGTGTGTTGCTGCAAGTGGCCAGCTTCCAAAGCTGCGCTGCCTGCAGTGGCAAGGCTCTAACGAGCCTGTGCTGCTGCAAGGGCCAGCTTCCAAAGCTGTGCTGCTTGCAGTGGCAAGGCTCTAGCGAGCGTGTGTTGCTGCAAGTGGCCAGCTTCCAAAGCTGCGCTGCTTGCAGTGGCAAGGCTCCAACGAGCGTGTGTTGCTGCAAGTGGCCAGCTTCCAAAGCTGTGCTGCTTGCAGTGGCCTGGCTCTAACGAGCGTGTGTTGCTGAAAGTGGCCAGCTTCCAATGCTGTGCTGCTTGCAGTAAAGACCCTGTGCTGCTGCAAGTGGCCCCATTTCAACGTAGCACACCTTCTATGAGCCGCCCAAGAGTCAAATTTAAAGGAAGAAGGTATGTAGGTGCCAACGTACCAGACCTTTTGTAGGCCGCCGCGGGTCAAAGTAGAAGACCCAGGAGCGCCAACGCAGACCTTTTGTCAGCCAGCTGGCAAAAAAATAAGACGAGGCAGGATCCATTCAGAAGAGAAAGGCGCCATTCCAACATAGCCGACCTTTAGTAGCCACCCCAGAGTAGTGTTTAGAGGAATGAGCACCACTCTAAGGTAGCAGACCTTTTGCGGGTGACTCGAAGATAAACATTTGAGGGCCGACTTCAGCGAAGGAAGGGGTCATTCCAAGGTAGCAGACCTTTTGTGAGGTGTCCAATCCAACATGTGAGGCACGAGGGTACAATTTAGAGCCACCCTAGATTTAGGAGGAATTGTGAGCCACCCAGGGGTAAAATTTAGAGGAGGAAGGTGCGGTTCCACCGTAGCAGACACAATTTTGAGGAGGAAGGTGCCGTGCCAACGTAGCACACTTTTTGCTAGCTACCCGAGGGTAAACATTAGAGGAGGAAGGAACCATGCTAAGGTAGCGGACTATAAAGACGAGGAAGGAACCATTCCAACGTTGCAGACTTTTTGTAGCCACGCACGCAAGGGTAAAATTCCCTGCTGCTGACTCTGCTGCTTCTTCTCCTGACCCTTCTGCTGCTCCTGATGTTTCTAAAACACTCCCAGAAAAAAACGAACACAACTCCCTGAAAGAATGAAAGCAACTCCCAAAAACAATTTCCACCCTATGTGACACGCTTCGTTGATCCAGTGTCAAAACATGCGACCTTTATGAGGCACAAATGTCACAACATGTGACCTCTAAACACTTTTGGACATCCCTTTTAACACTCCCGGAAGTCATCATGCAAGTGGACCGAACAGAGGTTTTGCCACTTCCAAGATGATTTCAGGGAGCTTGGCAATATAAATTTTCACTTTGAAGAACCACGTATATAGTTGGTGAGAAAAATGCCCATGACGATCCCGAGGATGGAGCCCCTGCGGCGCCTACGTTGGAGACGAAGGGCATGCCGGAGACCGCTCAAACTCCCCTGATTCGGGAGGCCGAGGGGTTGAGACGGCAGAGTTCATGCAGGGATGGACAGTGCAAATAGTATTGCTTGCCCAAACCATCGTCCTCATATGGAGCTGAGCAGTTTTTCCATGTTTTTAATCTCCGATTTGATGAGCATAGGGCAGAGTCAGCGGCAGAGTCTGTTGACAAAAGCAGTCTTAGCATATCCAAGCATTCTGCGTTTCATCCAGCTGTCCAGGATTTGGACTTTGAGTCCGTTTGTGGAGATGACTCATGGGAGGACCGTGTTTCGGATCGCGAAAGAAACCGTGCTTCCCCTGTAAGGTCGATACAGATCCTGGGTCGAGTGTTACTTGAGAGGAACATACGTGGCACATGTGTGTGT